TTCATTTATTGCGCATAAGCTGCAAGTAAACAGAACTCATAAGTTAAGTTCAAAATGAAGATAAAGCAAAGGAAAATTACAGACATATGAAAAAAGGGGGGAGAGAAAAATAATAATAAAAAAATAACAAACAACTGGGGAAAAAAAGGGATAAAAAATTTTTATGAAATCCGGAAAATAAAAGATATAATCTTTTCATCAGCAATAGTTTGAGTGCTCCTCACACTATTGTATTGATATATTTTGCTTTGGCTATATTGATACAATATCAGAAAGCACTCCTTTTTGCGGATATAATCGTGTGGGCTGATGAAAAGATTATATCTTTTATTTTCCGGATTTTATATTAAAAAAATGTATCCCTTTTTTTTCTGCCCCCAGTTGTTTGTTATTTTTTTATTATTATTTTTCCTTCCCCCTGTAGGAGTTTGTGCAGCATTAGCTCAAATAACGACGATAATTAAATAAGAAACTTAACATTTAATGGAAATAAAATGAAATACGTTTAAATTTAGAGGTGACATGGTTGGTGAGAGCTGCCCTCTCGCAGTATCGCCAAAATGCATGTGTATAAGGAATTAAATTGTTCTATCGAAGAAATTCAGAGTTAATTATAAATTCGGGACTTCCCCATCGGGACTCGCTGGCTTCTCTCAATGAGTAAAAGGATGATGAAATCTCTTAAAGTATTGCATGATGGAGAGTGACGTAATATGACGAGATGTTACACTATGACGCTGAAACTCTAAATGTATATATATATATATATATATATATATATAGTAAAATCACTAACATAAAATCGTCTGTCTATAATAAAACTATAGGTTTCTAGGAATATTTATTTATTTAANTATATATATATATATGCATAAAGAGAGAGATCACTTTTATTGTCGCTAATTTTTTTTTATCGATCCGGTTTTCATGACGTCAGCACAAGTGACATTTTCGCACTACGGAAATTATGTTGACTAAAATTAAACTCGGTTGCAAGAAATCATGTACCCACAATAACATACGCACACACTTACTTGACAAATAATGATTAATTTTCGAAAATTAACAAAATTGCTCACGTTTTTTCTTCTTTTTTTTTATATTGAAATGCGCCGTGATAGCCCAGTGGCTAGTGAGTCAAACTCCGATCCGGAGTGGCTGGATGTATACGAGCTCGTAAAATCTGTGGAATAGAAAGTCTTATGGTCGGTCGCTGAACAATACCCTGGAGACGGGAATCTGGATAAAATTTCCTTTCCCTTCAGATCTATGACTAGTTGAGGAAGTAACCTCTCGAGTGAGTGGTGCTGCCATCTATCCATAAGGTTCTGAACTAAAACGAACTTTCACCTCTTCTCAAGGCTTGGCGAGCTTCGCTTCTCCAAGTGTCATTAAAAACAGCCACAACAACAAAAATTGTTAAAAAAATTTAAGCTATTTTTATTGTTTATTATTCTGAAAAATATTCAAATGCGTATAATATTTGATTTTCTATGAATAGTTATGTGCAACACCAGCGAAAAATTTTAAAAAATATGGAACACATTGATAAAACACGCTGTAAAAATGTTAATGACTTTTCGAATGCATATTCAGTGCATGTAAGTATATAATGCTGGCTGGAAGAAAAAAGTTTACTTCTAAACTTAATCATTATTAGAAAAAAACTTTCAGTGATTCAAATAACAAAAAAACGTCAATAAATCCAGAGCCTGACTAAGGCAGGGGCATACGGGGCAGTTGCTCCGGACCCCAATTCGAATAGAAAGTATATTTTAGGATTCCTTTTGTAATGAACTTTTTTTAAACATAATATCAGTACAGTGTAAAATTCGTCAGTTTTACGTTAGCTTCTTATTGCATGAACACAAAAAATTTATATTTCGTAAATCCATGGCTTTCTAGGGCGGAATTTAGCTAAACTTTCGCAATTACGATGGATAAATTTGGTCAATCAAAAGCCTGTATTTTTACATATCCCAAAATGCGATATGTTTACAAAAATACAGGCTTTTGATTGGCCTAATTGAGCCATCGTAATTGCGAAAATTTAGCTAAATTTCGCCCTAATGTCAGTAAGGATATGGGTTTTTCGCTTCTAGACAAAATTAACAATCAGAAAATTGCATTCGGCATGGATGGAGAATTGTCAGAAAATTAATAAAATGGACAGAACGATATTTCGACTGACCATTGGAGTGAGGGGGACTTTACAGCTATTTTAGGTTCAAGTCAATTTTCTTGTTATATATGTATAATGAGGTGAAAAATTTAAATACCTCCATAAAGTTTAGTTCTTCATTGCTGTAGTAATGAAGCAGAGGGGGCCTCCCAAGGAAGTTTTTGCCCCGGGCCGCAATTAGGGCCCTGAATAAATCATCTGTAATCAAAAAGTACTTTAAAATTTTATTTCTGCAGGAATAACCACTGGGTTTTTGTCTCCAATATCGCTCATCACTTTAAAAATAATGCAGATTGAGAGATAATCTGTTTATCAGTGTATTTTGGAATAGTTTAAAGCATTTTCTCACTAATCAGGCTGTATCAAACCCAAGGAGTCGATATAGTATAATTAGGAATCGATCTGATTTAGTGGGTCTATGAATTCTACCAATGGGCCTATGCTGAGCCGTGGTGGCTGTGGGGATAGAGCGTTAGCCTACCAATGAAGTTATCCAGGTTTGAGTCCCACCAGTGGCTGTTTGATACGTATAGAAATACTTGTTATTGAACCACCGATAGATGGCGGAGTTTATCATTAGATTGTAACCGTAACTGCAAACTAAGATTTTGTAAAAAGCATCTACATTGTAATGTAGTAGTAACGTCTACCATTGTACCGTATTAATCATGTTAAAGATTTAAATATATTTTTGTTACTTACCCCTTGGTAATTATTGAGTAGTTTTCCTGTGCCATCAAGAAAACGAGAAAAAGGATATATTCACTAAAAATGGTAATAAATCTTCGGTGTATTTACCCTATTAGAATTGCTTTAAGTTGAAAAGCGAAAATACGAATTCTTCCTACTACTGCCATTAACCTCAGTGCTGACGTAAAACATCCTCAGTTGTAAATGGGTCATTGTTTAGAATCCTTTTACCGTCAGGCTGACCTTGAGATATTTTCATGGTTTTCCTCCCCATATAAAAATTCATTTACTATATATTTAAAGCCCATTTGCTAATAAACCTTACACTGTATACCATCTCTATCAAAGTAGCAACTGCTATTATTTTTTCTAAATTCAAGCAATCAAAATTTATTCTGATTGTTTGCCATTGGTATTAATGCTTTCTCTTAGATATATTCTGAAATAAATAGACTATATGTTAGATTTTCATATCTGTTTGGCTAACTAAGGGAGATTTTTCGAAGGTGCCATCTCATGTACTATAGATGCTTTCAAGTTAAAAAAACCTTATTACAGTAAGACACAAATTTGCCCTCGGGAAGAAACTTATAATAAAGATAAGTTTATTATAGATTTAAAATTAATTTAATAATTAATTTATAAATAATACATTGTATATGTTTGATTATAACAATCAAGAGAAAAAAAAGATGCATTGAATTCCAATTGCCGTTGGACTCTGAATAATGAGTTTAAAAAATAGCTATTGTTTTAATGCTTCTTACGTGTGCAACATTTTAAAAAAATTTAATAATTTTTATAAAATATTTTCAGGAGTTAAATTGAAGAAGTTTTAAAAAATTGTTATCCAATCAAAATTCTTGGAATGTTTATTATTTTTCAACAAATTAATCATTTGAAATATTTATGCACCACTATCTGTATGTTGATAATAATATTTCATTAATTTCCTAAAATTCTAGAACATAAAGTAATAGTAATATGTTTATTAAAAGAAAACTTGTGCAATGTGGGGGGTAAGTTTCGTTTTTTTCGTTTTAGCAAGTATTTAAAACTGCCCCTTCACCATTGATTATTTAATATAAAAATAGTTTATTTAAGTGCGTCTTTTTTTTTATGTATTTAATGTAACTTTCGGTCACAATGATATCAAAATTGCAAATTCATAATCTAAAAACTGAATAAAAGAGCCCAATTGATATTGAGTTAAATCCGCAATATTTTCATTTCTTGGTGATTTAAATGGATTTTTTTTTTCTTAATACAAATAAAATGCGATTCTTCTACAATAGATTATTTAATATTATTTCATTGTTAGAAGTATGGCGATTTATTTTGTAAAAAAGTAAATAAATAAATTATGATACTAGTATGTTTAAAAATAAAACAATAAAAATTGTTCTGAATAAATATTTATTTTTTCCTTGATTTTGTTAAATATTTAAATATAAAACTTACTGATTTTGTGGATACATTTTAAAACGAACATTTAATTTTTAATTTGGAGAAATATGCAGAAATAAACAAAAACTATTATTGATGATAAATCTGGAAAAATACTATTCAAAATTTTGTTTATGATATTTCGCTTTTTTTTTTCTTTTGTAACCGATTTTGCTTAAAACTCAGTTGTTTTTACTTGTTTGCTTTAACTTCTTATTTTGATCTTAAAAAAAAAAAAAACTTATGTGTGGTAGAAGTTTTACTTTTAATCAACTAAATTTAAAACCTTGTAAGAAACACTGAAGCTAATCCTAACGCCTGCACACAATTTTTTGCTTTATTTTATAAAACTGCCTAAAACTCAGAACTGAAATTAACTGTGGTCATATTACTATTTTACTTCGGTGTCAATTAGTGTACATATTGGAAGATGAACTTAGTTTTTGTTTCAATTTTCAAATAGACTAAAAACTTTCAAGTTAAAAAACTATAAGTAACTGAAAACCACATTTAACATAGTTCTTAAAGGAAAGAAATTTTAAAAATTTTGATAGAGTTAAATATAAAAAATATTAAGAAAAGAAAAACTGAAGAGAAGATTGAGGAAAGGGGAAGATCAAGACATGGAACCGCTTTCAACCCCAGATGGCGTACTCAATCGTTGGGATCGATTGTACCAGTAAGGAACAATCTCTAACATGAGCGCAAAGGAAGCTATAAACTAAACTAAATTTCGATATCAACAACATGCATGACGTAAAGTACACCAAAACAAAAACTTCTAGCATATATTATCGTGATGCATTTATATTTTCATTTGTATTTTATACGGCATAATCGATTTATGCCTTTATTCTTACCATTAATATGCATATGAGTTTTTAAAATTTTTATAAAATGTACATTAACTTCATCTGTAAGCAATTTATTTTCATTGCTATTTTATTCTCTATCTCAAAATCCGGAGATAGTTTGTCCCAGATGGAAATGATCCAAAAAAACCTCACTTTGCATTGCTTTATAGATAATCTAACACATATTGCTATCGGAATAATTAGCTGGTTAATTGTCATAAGTTATGACAAGATCAGTTTGTCGCATTTATTGCAAAGCCTTTTATGCGGTTTCTTTGCCGGAATTATTGATGTAGATCATTTTTTGATGGCGAAATCACTAAATTTAAAAGTTAGTTGAAAAACAATTTTAAACCTAAATACACAAGTGGGTGACCTTTGTGCTAAAATACAAAACTAAGGCAAACAACGTTAAAGAGCACAAAAATCAGTACCGTCTTTATGCATAGGCACACCCGGGCAGTGCCCGAGGGCTCCAGGCACTCAGGGGTGCCCTGGAGAATCTTACTTTTTATAAATTTTATTTAAAAACACTAAGAATAAACAAAATTGCATTATATATTTTTTTAAATAATTATATTCTGTTGTATAAAGTGTGTATTTTGTTTTTCTTTCTACAAATAGTGATTGATTATATTGCAAACAACAATAATTTGAGTAGTTTATCACCAAGAATACTTAGAAAGGCAACTGAAATAAATTTTTCTACGTTCTAATGAAGTTTATGTGGATTCAGATTTTTGTGGAAATCAAAATATATTTAAATTTGTTCAAATTATTGCATGTGTTAAAAATGCATAATTTTATATATGTGAAGTTTTTTAGTTCGATTTTAAGTAGTATGACCCGTTATAGGGGCCCAAAACATTTCTGTGCTCTGGGGCCCTGCATGCTATTAAGACGGCCCTGACAAAAATATTTATAGAATACAGACAGCTGTTTTGGATGCTCAAAGGACAACTTTCATCAGGGCAGTGTTGCACTGATGAAGGTTGCCCTTTGAGCATCCGAAACAGCTGTCTGTATTTTATAAATATTTTGGTGCTCTATAACATTATTTGCCTTAGTTTTGTATTTTTAAACCTAGTTTGATATTTGTGTAAACTAATAGATTGACTAAATATTTATTACCTTAGAAGTAAAATTGTTATGGAATACAATTACTACTTTAGAAATAAAATTGTCTTCAGAAATAAATCGGCACAATTGTTTTCTTATAAAACGTCAAGTTTGATAGCACATTCATTTGCTGTTCAGGAAAGTTTCTGTATCTTCACACGAGCTGTTTTTTTTTTTAAATGAAAATATCTATTATTTTACTTCATTTAGAACAGTTGATTATAAAAGTCATTCAAAACTAACATTTTATTTTTAATGTAAATATAAATTTTTATAGGTTTTAAATCAACTCTACATTTTTCTTATTTTCAGTCATATTATTTCTTCCATAAATTTAAATGTACTGCAAAAATAAAAAAAATACTATAATACGAAATTTTTCCTCCGTATCCCACTATTTCAATACCTTTAAAATTTAAACTGCTTGAGCTTAATCCATATCCAAGATAGATTTAATTGCATCTAGTTTAGTATCGCTTAAATACATGTTTAGTGTTTTATAAAAAATTTTAAAAAAATTATAATATGAATAATCAAAGTTAACATTAAGTCTTAAATTTTTCATGTTATCAATATTTACACTAAACCATGTCTTGACCTAACATTTTCATATTAGTTATAAAAAACAAGATAAATGGTACACTTTATTCTGAACATCTAGTAGCACATATTGAAATTACAAGAGTAATTCTTTCTCAGAATATAAAATGCAATTAAAAACATCTAAAAATCACAAATGATGAATTTGTGATTTTTTAACATTTAATAATTTACTGTCAATTTTTAATTCTACCTTTAATTGTACATTTATCTCTTTAATGAAGCATAACCTCTATCGGATTAAATCCTGTGTTACTATCTCCTGCCATTTATCCTATTGATAGTGTACTAATGCTATCTGACATCCTATGTGCCAATGGTTTAAATATAAATTTTACCATTTGTGATTTTTTATTGTTTTTAATGAAATATAGTAGCATATTTTTCTAATTATCTGTATGTAGCATATTGTAGTAAACATATACAGGGTGAGAAATTCTCACTCATTATTGATGATCAAATATTTTTTTAAAAAATCAAGTTTTAGACTAAACTAAATATGCTGGAGCCGTCACGGCTCAGGGGATAGAGTATTCGCCTTCCAATGAGGTGAACTAGGTTCGAATACCAGCAATGACGGGTCTATACGAATTTCATTGCCTACTCGCGCAGACCACAGTGCTGACGTAAAATATCCTTAGTGGTAGACGGATCATGAGTTAAAGTTCCCCAGCTGTCAGGCTAACCGTGGAAGGTTTTCCTCTCCATGTAACACAAATGCAGGTTAGTTCCGTCAAGTCCTTTTATGTCAGGCTTACGTTAGTCCTTTACGAAAGCAAATTTAACCCCATACTTAAACCAAGAGTTCCCTTGTCTTCTGGATTGGATCCAAAATTACATGGCTACGGAGTAGAACATTAGTAGTTGTAAACCTAAAAATTGGGTCAACTGTTCAACGACAGTTATAAAACGAAGTATGCTTATCAAATGGTAGCATTTATCCTCTATTTAAAATAAAAAAATGGTGCACTCACTTTTTATTATCTAACCATTGCTTTTGAATAGATGGAAGCCTTAAGATTAACTTATTTTGATTTAATCTAATTATATTGCAATAAATATTCGATTTTTTTTTTAAGTTTCTACATTCTTTTATGCTTTCAGTCACCATAAAGTTCTTTCTATACTACAACTGTTTCAATTTTAAAAATTGTTCTAACTTTTCATGAATGCAAAATTTTAACCCAACTAGTATCTTTAGAATTGAAACTACATGCCCAGAGATGCCAATTGCTCCAGACACGCCAAAATAATTTTAAAAAACGGTATATAACTACTAAGTAAGTTTCGCAAATATTTTACTATTTTTGCTTGCTTTTTAAGAGGTATAGCATGGCATAAGTACTATAAAGTGGTGAATTAAGTAAACCTATGAATTATTTAGAAATAATGGTGGATAAAAATCTACTAAATTGAATTTATTAAACCAAGAATCACAATTGATAAACTACCACTTTAAAATATATATTTGCTGTTCGGAGCAAGTTTGCCCTGTATTTTTCATGTTGTGGAAGCAACGAAAGATATATCCAGATTCTTACTCACTAAATATATATTGCTTAGCTAAAAAATTTTTAGATTTTAAATAACCTGAATTTTTGCAAGAGATAACTTTTCTGATAAACATCCTTCTTTATTTCAGGATGCAGTAAGCCTGCCTTCAAGACCACCCTTTCACAATACAACATTATTAGTTTCAATAGTAACATGTTTTATCATTCTCATGCATAACATAGAACAAAAACCAGCAGAAAAAATAGGATGGTTTATGTTAGTAGCAGTTGTCTCCCATCATTTGCGTGATGCTATGCGTAGAGGACTCTGGCTATGGCCGTTTGAGACGAAACCTTTAGGTTTCTGTGACTCTGTTATTATAAGCTATTTATTTTCTTTGGGAGTTGGTGCATTGATTAAAATAATAGATCATCCTGTACCAAAAGAAAAAACTGCATTTGAAGTATAGTAAAGTAATGTAACCAGGTCGACCAGCACCATAGAGATTTTTCTCGAAATTTCTGTGTAATGCAGACATGTGATATAAAAATGTTGCATTTTTTGTTATTTTTACTAAGTATATTTATTACTTTGTGCATTTTATATGAAATACTAGTCATATAAATAAATGAATTTTTTTGTATTTTTATTTGAATTTCACTATCAGTGCTCCCAATAATTTAAGAAACACACCAAAGAATTGAAGAAATTTTATCAAGTATCAAAATAAGTTTCTTCGTCTAGTCTTCGTTACTTAATTCTTGATTATGTACCAAATTAGATGTGACACTGTTGGATAAGCTTAAATTGGCAAAAAGAAATACTTCTACAAATATCTTTGTATTTAAGCATTTTTAAATTGAATAATTGTTGTTCCATTTATATGAATAACTTATTATTTGAATTTTATATCGATATCTGCATTTTTTGACATTTTATAAATGTCTAAATTTTCTCACCACCAAAAATACAATTGATAGGATGTTTCTGGTAGTGAGAAAATGTTTTTTTCATATGCACAAAATTTCAACCTGGAACCAGAATGCAGATAATCTGGAATTCAATATGTATATAGCAAGTTTTATGCAATAGTAGTAAGGCTTCATCAGTATTGTTATCAGTTTCATTAAACTGGCTAACAGCAATATTTCCCTTACCTTCTTTTTTCATTCATCCCTTAATTGATATAGTGTTCAGTTTTTTATTTTATTTGTTACATTCAACTTAAATATTTTAAAATTTTTATTGCAATGTTAGCCTAAGTTCAATTAAGTTTAATTGGTTTAACTTTTAAACTTGTTTGCAAAGGCATGATCTTTTTAGATTAACTCTTTAACGGCAAATCAAGAACTGAGTTCAGGAAGAGTTATAATCAGAAAGTGTTAGGCTTACACTCTCAAGAAATTTTTTTTCTTCCTGTTTTGTAAAGCTTATCGAAAAAAAATTTCTGTGGCAGAATGTCACATTTTATTAATTACATGCATTAAAGATGTCAATATATTCAGTTAGCACGCTGTGTATTTTTTATTCAGTATAAAATTTTATCTAGAAAAAAATTCGCATTTTACGTAGCATTACGTACATTTTACATAGCATAACAAAAACTAGCATTTTAATAACTTTAAATTTAAACATCTGCATCATTAAACATCTGCAGTTTTAAAATTGAAATTTCTAAAAAGCTGTTAATCCTGATTTAGATTTCAAAAAACCAACTATCAGCCTAAAACTAATTAAAAATCTTATTTCTTGGCAAACTGTAAAGTATTTTACTAAAGATTTTACATACAAGTTTCAAAGCTAATTTATTCAGTTGATTCGAACTACCTGGTTTCTTTTTAACAAATTGTAAACAAAGCATTTAGTAGTTTTGAATTTGTTTATATTCAAATGTTAACATTGTGTTTTCAGTTAAAATAATAAATTACAACACTGTCTTATAAAAAGAAATTAAAAACACCTAGAATGTAAATTTATTTATTATATTTACGACATATAACGTATAAAATTAAGAAAATGCACTTCACTGGATTGGGAAATACATTTACAAACAAAACAAATAGAGATTACTCTTATCAATTTCAACAGTACTCAAAATAAGTCAATATTTCTAAAATGCACATTCTCTTTGTCCATCAAGAAATAAAACAATTATATCAAGTTTCTTAGAAACATTAACTCAACTAGTCAGACAATACAAAGACCATCACCAGGTAGGTTTCAAAGCTTTAGAAGTGAAGTATTAAAATTGTTAGAACATTATCACGAAATGCTTTACATGAAAGAGAAGAGTAAGGAATATACTTCAAAAACTTGCCTTATATAAAAATATGATTAACAACTGCACTTAAAATGCTTACTCAACCAAATAATAGCTGGAAAAGGAAAAGAAAAAAATGTTCAACAGCAGCTACTCCTGTTGAACACAACTGGCTCTAAATTTTCAAATTCATCAGAAAATTCACTATCGTCGTTATATAACATTGTTCTTTCACCACGATTTCTAGTCTCGATTCCATTCGACAGTTGCTTTAATGGCTTTTTAGCTTCCTCTGGGGCCCTTAGAGAATATCTTTTGAAGTTATTAGGCTTATGCCTAACTCGAACATAAGATTGGCGTTGTCTAGGATTAGATAAAGCTGGCTTTGATAATGGCACACTGATGGTTGAGGTCGAAATGTCTTTATTCTGGCTAATATCAGACTCGTAATGTTCTTCATTTTCTAACATCTCCATTAGATAGGGGCTATCTATGTCTTCTGTATATATCACTGTCCTTCTTCCACTGTACCTGGTTTCCCGTTTATTAATTACATTTTTACTCGTAGAGCTGGAGTTTCTATTAACCCTCGTGCTGATTCTAGCAGCTGAGCGAATTTTTTTCTGATACCATTTGCGCTTGGTAGCTGCTGAGCTGGAATTTTCTTTGCTTTGGTTACTACATTCAGATTCGTCTATTTTTTTAGAAGTGCTAGGGTAAACAACATCTTCATCTTTGGTTTTTCTTAAGTCAGAAGTTGAACTACTAGTCTCGCTTTTTGATGCAGGCGATGCCTCTTTATGTACAGCAGATCTAGTATATGAAGATATTGATTCAGATGCTAAGGTTTTAGAAAGCTTTTTAGCAATTAAACCACTTTTTCTATGTTTCAATAAGGGAGGTTTCCTTTTAATAACAAGTTGAACTTTCTTTGGATTATTTATTTTACCCGGAATATCACCAATCTTATTAGCACCTTCCTCAGTAGAACTAGGCTTATCTTCACTAGTTTTACTATTTTTGTTTAAGTTATTTATGGCATTGAAAGATGCTTCATTATTTTTCAAACGTACTTTAGATGCTGTATCTGACTTGTCTGTATTATTGGAAGATAAAGACGAACGAGTCAATCTTTTATCACGATCGATTTTAATGTTACTACTTTTTCTCAAAATAGTGCTAGCATTAGATATTTTCTTCTGTATTGGTCCATTAAATGCAAACTGTTCTCCATTATTGGCATTCAGACTTTTACTAATTTTTCTTTTATCACAGATTTTTAAAGCTTTCTGATACAGCTTGGATTCAACGGGCTGAACTATAGTTTTTGAAGACGTAGGAGTAGACTTAGCTTTATATATTTTATTCACATCTAGAGAGGTAGAAGATCTGGAACGCAATGAGGAATGTGAATCAAATTTATGACTTAGCAATGCAGAACTTCTCCGTTTTTGAAATGTGTTTGTAACACGAGATTTCAATTTACTAACATTTTGAGTCCTCAATTTGGAACTTAGTTCGGAATCCTTGCATTGCTTTTGAGTTATTAAAATACTTCTCTTTGTGCATTCCTTTACTGGTGTTTTTTCATGTACTTTCTTTGTCATCACAGGTTTAGCTATATTTTTGTCTTTTGTAAGATCTGAACCTAAAACAAAGGGGTAAATTGTTACATTCAAAGATTACAGAACCAAAATTTTAAGTATTCAATATCTGTGTATTACATTTTATAAACGATCCTTATTTTTTCTTCTTCTCAAAATGACAGTATATTTGTCAGAATATTTTATTTTTTAAATATTGTAAGATTATTAATCTATCTTTTCACACAGAAATAAATTTCATGCAAAGTTGTTTTATTTTACTTTGGACTGAATTGAAAATGTTAAAACTTTATGGATGGTAGTTATACTTTACCTTAATTTTAATTTAAGCATGCTAAATGGATCTATCAAGTTATTCAATATAATAAGTTTAGAAAGATGTTCGTAAATAATCTTTCACAAAATACTAATTATTTTAATACCTTTACCATTATTTTTTTCAGTTTATAACTTACATAACCGAAGAAAACGTTGAAAACCGAATTACTTCTACTGCATAATAAATTATTAAATTAAAGTGAAATAACATTTTTTGCTTAAATACAGATTTTAACAGTCTTTCCTTAATGTTATACATATATAATAATATATACATGTATAATAAATAGCTGCCATTTGCACACATATTTAAAATTCTAAAACCTATTTCATCTTAACCAATAAATAATTGATATCTTAATAATAATAAAAAAATGAGCTTAAAATATGAGATAAATAATAATTTTTGTATATTGTATTATAATGGCACAAAGTAATAAACTAAATTGTAAACATATTAAATTAAAAATAAATAATATACCTTATCAGCAACTCATCACAATCAGGGAAAATGTGCTATATTATAATATAAGCATCAGAAGCTCCTTTCGCGTTTTTCTCCGAAGCTATATATTATGTGTGCTGGTATTAAAATTCCAATACAAGTAAAGAATTAATTACTTCGATTTTTAAACAAAAAAATACACAACACCTTAGCTGGTACCAAAAATAAAACTTTTTATTCAACAATTACTTTAATTTTTAAAAATAAATTGAAGTTTTAAAAATAAAGTTAATACATGTCATCACTGGAATTTAGATATTTTGGTTAAACATACAAACATTTCATCATAAACCAAAATCTAGATGCAAATATTCATAAAATTAAAAAAGGGAAAAAGTACAAATAATTCTATAAGATCAAAAACATTTTTTTTTTTAAATAAATTTCAGGTCTGTTTTGTAATTTAAATGAACTTTGTGAAGAAACATAATTTTAAAATTTTTGAACAATTAAAAATAATTCAAACAAATTAAGGATTTGATTTTCTTTATGATAAGAGTGTTTGGACTTAATAATAAAATAGCACTTAGTCCTTGCATTTAATTCTTTTTAATATAGCTGCTATGTGGAAAAAATAATTTCATTTGTTAAGTTTGGTACAGAATGTGTTAGATGATTTCTTAATTAAAACACTTAATATATTTAGCTGTAAACTAGCATGATAATCAAAATACTAAAATATGTTTTCTATTTCCCTTTAAATTAAAAAAAAAAAATATTAAAAATACATCAACTACAAATTTAATTTTTACCAAAAAACAATAAAATAAAAGTTTCTAAATGAAAATCTATAAATAATGTAGATGTAAATAATTAATTAGAAGTATATAATTAATAAGCATTTAAGAAGTTTTGTAAATAAGAATCATATTTAATAACACTAGACCAGAGGTAGAAAATATACTTTCTTTATTGAGTTTTCAATTATGAATTAATAGTAATTATTTATAAAAATAATGGATAAACTGTGTTTAGAAAATGTTTTGTTTTTACTATTACTTTATATAAACTATTTTAGATTTTTATAAATAGTAATATAAATGTAAAATGTTTTAATTGCGGAGTGTGCGACAAACTATCAATAAATTTTTACATCATATTTATTCACAATATACTATCTACTACCCTATAAAATTTAAAAAAATTATAATTATAGCACAAATTTAGATGTATTTTTGTTTTTTTGTAAAAACATGGTTTTAAAAAAAAAATTTATGTAGTATAAAGTGGAATTAAAATCATTGAACTAAAATAGCTTGATTTTATTTCACTTAATATTTTATAAAAAAGGGCGTTTAAAATTAATAACTACAACATATTTTTTAAAAAGTTATGATTAACTAACATCAATATCACATTAATTTTAGTTTACTTAGAGTTTTAAAGTACCTTCCAGATATCACATAACATTTAAAATACAATTAACCTGCATCAGGTTCAAAAATAATAATTCAAAAAATAAACAGGAACTTATTATCATTTTCTAATCTTGAGTATTTGATTGGATAAATTTGAACTATACAAAAAAAAATAAAGAAGTAGATAAACAACACAGACACTAAAACATTTGAATATAAAAAACTATTCTTTTGGCATTAAATATTAAATGAGTGAACAATGGTGTTTGATAATAAAAGAAGTGAAAAGAGTTTATAATTTTTGTACTTGTAAATTTGACCTCATTTGTCATTTTCACAATTCAGATAGAAAAAGACTTAATATATTTACAGCATGAAATATGTAGGATGAAGTTTAAAAATGAACATTAATAAATGCTTTAACCTCTCGATAACAAACTATTTACATGTATCACTGTAAAAACAATTTCAATGCAACTGGTGATTTTAATATTTATATACAGTGGAAATGTAATTTGATGTTTTTTTATTTAACAAAATTGCAGAGATGAATAAAAATATAACCCTGCATTAATGAGCCACAAAAAGATGAAAATAAATTAACACAAATTTATTTTTAAAAAATGATTAGTTAAAGAAATAAACACCATTATTCACGAAAAAAGGCCCGAACGTGATGAGTTAACTTACGTAGACGGCCTCTGCTGCTTAGAGACAGCAGTGGCTGTGAATTTCCAGAATCATCACTGACATTATCATCATTACTATCTTCCCCATACTGTACAGTTCTTTGGCCTCGGTTTCTCGTCTGCCTCGGGCTAGGTAAAAGTAAGGCACGCCGACTAATTCTCTTTGGTAACTGCCGTGCAGTTTTAGTTTGCTCTTCAGTTTCGGAACTCGAAGAATAATGCATCTCATCAACAGCTGCACTGTTAGTCGAAGTATTGCGTGCTGATGATAATTTACTTGAACTGTCCCTGCTATTTGACGCAGTTTGACTGTTTGAGGTACTATCGTCTTTGTTGCTTTGCAATTCTGATGCGTCACTTTCCGAAGTGGTGCCGGAATTAACGTAGCGTCTGGGCTGGACCGTTACCCTCCTCAGGTGAGCACGTTTCGATGGAGGACTGTTGTTTTTAGATCGCAACTGCAACCGTTTTGATGCGAGAGGTGACTGCAAAGGACATGGGATGTCCCTCCGTTTGGATTTTACGAATGATTTTTTAGTTCTTTCTGGAGTTATGGACCTCGATGAATCGGGAGCAGAATTGAGAGTTTTAGAAATACGAGATGAGAAAACGGGGGATTTGAGATGAGCAGAGGACCTAGTAGATCGAGTGTGACGCAGATGCTTCTTGATAATTCTGTTTCTAAATGTTCTTTTAGTGTGAAGAATCTGAGCTTTACGTGGCCTCTTAGACCTGTTCCTGAAGACAGATTCTTCACTCTCACTATTATCTTTTGGACGTTTTTTAGAGCGATTGTTGCCCCATTCAGAATCATCACTATCACTGTCTGAAGATTTGTTTGACTCGTTACCGGCTTCAGAATCTGAACGACTTCCTTCAAAGGATGAATGTTCTTTTTTGTGAACATTCTCTGTGCGTCTTCTTAAAGATTTATTTACAAAAGTTCGTTTTGAGGTATGAGTAAATTTTTTCTTTGCAACTCCATTTGTTAAAGTGCCTAAATTTTAATAAAAAATACATTATTTTTATCATATGAATCTTTTATGCTTTTAACAGATATTTAAAAAAAACAATTTTTTAAAGGTTTGTCACAAAAATTTACAACATACACAGTTAATAAACAACTTATATCACATTGATGTGCATGTAGGTGGAGCAATGGATTAGCTATAGAAACTAAATTGAAAAAAAAAAACCTTCCACCTGTTCCCTGTGTGTGATTTCTGAGACTTTAAACCAATAATAATTTCTTATTCACAAAAACAAATAGAAAAATTTATAATTGACTTTCTCATACAATCCCATTCATAAATGTAAAAAACATTTACTAACATCTGCTACATTTTAGATTTTCAAATTCATGACTTTCCGTGACTAATTCCAAGAACTTTTCATGACTTAACGAAGTTACTATTTTCTCCGACAAAAACAGAATAATAAATTTAAAAAGCATTATAATAACATTAATTGAAATGATAGGTAAATCCGAAACTGTTACACTCGGCATCTTCTTATTTACTGATTTTAAAATTAAAAAACAGTAAAGAAAGAGTTAAAGTAATAAAATAGTTGAAAAAATAATAGCTGAGCAAATAATTTTTTTTCTTTTTTTTTGCAGAATTATATCCAAAAGATACTTTTCTTGTTTATCAGAAAGAATAGAAATACTCCGGATTTTTCTGTTCTCATTTCGGAATTAAAAAAAATTTGCCAATGACTGGCTTACTTCAGCTAGAATTTTAAATTTATAAAATAACAAAAATTCTGAAATCAGTTTAAGTGATACTTCGCTCTAGAAATGATGTTTTTTCTTTCATTTTATGAAAGAACACCATAATTTTTAAAGAACATGATAAAAACATTTTATATTTTAATAAAAAATTACTCTGAGAAGGGATTTTGTTACAAATTCAGATATTTGGAACACCATGAAATTGGGGGGGGGGATTCCATTTTAAAAATAAAATTTTCCGGCTGTCTAAATCCATGACTTTCGTGATTTTTTCTTTTAAAAAATAGTTAAAATCATGACATTCATGACAAGTTTTGTTCAATACCGAAATTCATGACTTTTCAGGCGTGCGGATACCCTGCATTTATAAACATAAAGGGTTAAAGTTTAAGAAGGAAAAGTCAGATGTTAGTTTTTCACTTTACTTTTAATGCTATTAGAAATAAATAAAATAAAAATTCCATTTGGTCCATAGTGTTTATAATAATGCGCACTTAAGCAGCAAAAAAAAAATTTTGTCACAAAAAATTTTCATAATAGCAGAAGGCTAGTAGTTTTTAACTTATTATAAACACATATTTTGCACTTTTAAACATTAGTATTTTGAAGATGACTCGGGAACTTGTAACAATGGGCTTCTCGAAATACACTGTATTTGTTGCATTGAGATTTTACGGTTGTTTTTTATGCATTTTATTAAAAAATTTTGTGCATTTGAAATATTAATATATATTTCAAATTAGCTTTTCATTACTTTTCAGTGAACTCAAAAAGTTTTTACAAAATTTATAATTATGGTAGTGTTAACTAATATGTACCTTTATTTATTTTTACCATTTTTATAAGAGGGAACAAGCAATTATTAAAAAAGCACAAAAATCAAGGAAAAGAGAACAATAATATAGGTAATAATATATATGAAAATTGTACAAAAGAATTTGAAAATAAAAATAATTCTTAACTAAGTAGCTTGAAAGTAATTATCAAATTACCTAATGAAGTTTTCAAAACTTTCTTTTTCACACCTGCAGTTGATTGTTTAGTAGGTGTAACTTCTGGACTGCTTTTCTTTTTGCGGCCTACAAATTTATTGAAATTTGATATTAGTAGGGCAAATAAAATAAGTTTATGTTAAGAGTGCAAAAAATTGTTTGCAATTTCATGGCAAGTAAAGCAAGCTAAACATTGGAATAAATAAAAAAAAAACATTTTGTTTACTCTATATGGTGATCTTTTATCCTAATACATATAATTTAAAATGCCTAGTCTTTAAAGAATTTTAATGATAACAACGGTGCAAAAAGATAACTTTTAAATTGTCAAGCTTTATATTGAAGAGTAAAAAAAATAGTTCAGAAACATAAGCTATATGTTCTGATAAAATTATATGAATGCAATGTAATTACTGAAATTACATAATTTTCATAATTGATATTTATTAATTTTTTTTAAAGGGTATTTTTATCATTTTCCGATCCTGCTCAGGCAAACAAAATAAAAACTTTATATTCACCTGTTAAAACATTTGAAGACCTATCAATTGCTTTAAAATTGTGCCAAACCAAATGAACCATCAAGCGTTTTAAAATGCGCGATATGTCTTTATCAGAAATAAACTGAATAAGCAGCAACAAGATGCATAGCAAAATTTCATAAACTCTTAACAAAAAAAATGAATTTATTATGTGCAAAAATGATCAAAAATGCTAACCTATTCCATTTTTCATTTTACTCCTAGAACTACTGGGCTCAGAATAAGCTGCATTCAAAATGCGGTTAATTGATGTCTTGTAGTTATCTGCTCTAGAGGTAGATGGTAAATTTGATGTAAAACCTCTCGATGTAGAAGCCCCTACATTAACATTAGCATCTTGAACAGGCAGAGGTTTTCGTCTAAAAAAAATTAGATAAAAAATAAGGTTACTTGCTATAAATACATTACAAATGTAAAAAATTAAGAACATTTTCTGCCCTTGGACCAGAAACCAAAAGATTTAATTAGTCCATACTAGATTTACTAGTTAGTTCACGTCAAATTGAAAAGTTAATTTGAATCTATTGAAATCTTGCTGGTTACTGGTTACATGCTACTGGTTTATTAGAAAATTGGAAAAAAAAACACCAGAAACTAAAAAAAACTGAACTTTTATCAGTTAAATATATACCATTAATGACCTTTTGTCATCTTTCTGGTTACAGTCATCGTTATACTGAAACTTTGACCACTTAAAAAGATTTGTAAGATTTGAAATAAATAATAATGTAAGATTAGACTTAGAGATTGGGCAGCTCTAAGGAGCAGGTCACATCGACCAGAGGTCTATTGTACAAAAACCCTAAATCATGATTAGCATGAAAGCCCTATAGCTGAAATAAAATTCAGCAGACACCTTACAGGAACATCTTGCAGTTCTCAGGCATTGACGCAATGCTGCCCTAAATGCTCAAATCTTTGAGCAGAATAGACCTCACAATCACAGAGTATGTGTTGTGATGTCTCTTCTTCAAGATGACAACCCCTACAAAGAGAATTGGATTCTATTCCCAATATGTATAGGTGTCTCCTGAGGATGCAGTGTCCAGTAAGAAGACCAATGATCTTCCTTAAACTGTTTCTATTAAGCTTTAAAAGCTCTTTTTGACGTACACTAGGACAGTCACGATTTAGCTCCCTAGCTTGTCTCTGACTGTCAGCAGCGCACCATTGCTTATGGGCAATTTTGCCATAGAGCTCGAATATGGATGCCCTAAATGAGGTGGGAGAAATTCCCAGATAATGTAAGACAGGGACGATATGGTGGATGCAAACTCTCGTCTTAAACAAGCTCAGATAATTTCACTCATGCAACTAAAGATGTGAGAGCTCTTTCGTTGCCATAGTGAAACAAGATTCTATTGCCAAAGCTGCTCTTTTCTCTGATTACTTCCTCTAATTGCATAGTCGATCGCTCAATTGTTTGGAAGCAGCTAAAAATACGCAACACCCCGAAATTTACAGTATGATCTTTTTCTAATGCAATTCAGCTTTCAATATGATTTGTGCTGGTTCATCAGGAGGTTTAAACCACGATCTTTTCATATTAACATTATTGTAGACAATCTATTTTTCATTGACTGTAATAATTTATTTCATAAACAGGGCCAAATTATAGTGATTCATTGTGGTGAATCAATATAGGTGATTTTCCTTCATGTTTGTACTGAGCCCAATTACCCAGTTTCTTAATAAGTCCAAGATGTCTTAAATGATTCTCAATTATTGCAGGTGATACATTTAGGTGGTTTACAGTCTCTCGCACAGTTAAACGATCGATTCAATTCAATTATGGCTTCCATACTGCAGGGATGCTACTCGCAAAATATCAAATTGTCTCACCAGAAATTGCATTTCGTCTCAGTTAAAATCTCTTTTTGGCTCAGTTTGTCTCAGCTAAAATTATTTTTTTCACTCAGTTTATCTCAGCTAAAATGATTATTAATCAGTTTGATAACAATATAAAGATAATTTTCAGGATCCATAAAACCATTAATAGCATACTAGGAGTACTACAATTATACATACATTCACTATTGCTAGGATTTTAAAAAACCTGCATATGATTGATTATAAGAGTCCACAAAATTGTTTTATGGACTCTGTTGTTTTCATATATATTGCATTTATCATTTATGCCAATGAATAGTATCTGTTCCAGAATTTTACAAAGTAAATTTTAACTTTCTTATTTTTTAAAATATAATGGTGTTAACTTTCTAAAAAGAAATATCTATTTAGTTTCAGTAATTCAAAAGGGAAAATACCCATTTTATTTTGAGCTCAAATTTCATCTCAAAATATATAACTATTCAGTTACAATGAAAGGTCTACAGATTTCAATAATTAAAAGAGAAATTCAGTAATTAAATAATGAGAGTTTAAGAAAATGCAAATAACACAAAAAAAAACACTCTTTGATAGAATTCAGGAGGTGCAGTGAAATTTTGAAATATTTTAGGTAGGAATTTTTCAAGAAAATTTTAGGGAGCACTTAATAGCCAAAAATTAGCATATATACATTTTTATATCAAAACAGAAATATTTAAAAACTATTATAAACAATTTAAAAAGACACATATAAATATAATTTTCTTTCTAAAATGACTTGCATCCTTTATTAAGTATAAAAGTAAACTTTTTAGTTTATTGGCATTGACTAGTAGATTGTACTTTCTTGCATTCACAAGATTAGTTAGTTGACTATGTTCTTTTAATTTGTATAGCTAAATATACAATCATAAAATGTGATTATGAATGCACTTAGTAATTGTTTAAATGCAACAACTGTAGAAAAATATATCACATCTTTACAGTAACTAATTCAAGAAAAAACTTAATTCTACTTCTTTCTAGAATC